CTTCTAGTTCTGCCAATTGGTCAGTATATCCTGTGATGATGCTATACCAGTGATTTTCTGCTCTTTTTTTTTTTTTTTGGTTAAAATAATCTCATATTAGGTTCATTACTTAAAGGAAATTGAGGTTTAAAAAGACATGATAGTGGTTGTTGGAGTTCTGTTGATTTCAGTATTGTATATTTCATGTTAAAGTGTTGTTTTCAGTTAATAATTAAACCCATTAAATAGATAGTCGTTTTTTCATACTGTAAAATAAAAATTTTTAGATAAGGAGAGATTTAATATCAAAAAGTTTCATTTCTTATTTAATAGTTGCTGTTTTATAATTTAAAACAATTTGAATTGTAAAACAGTATTTTTTGTTAAATAAATAATGTTTAGCCTATTAATTATTAATTTGTTACTCTTTGTCTCACAATAATAAATTTTTTCATACTTTATATATTGCTAAAATTCTATTAGTCCTAACATAATTCCATGTAATCAAATAACTACATCGCACTACATAGATATTACATCACACAAGAAAATTACATTTAATGCGTAATCAACCACCCATCCCTTACTTTCTTAATTTTCTATTCATGTTAAACAACTTTTTTTTTTTTTTTGCCAGGAATTTTGTTGAAGGGAGTGAACTGCACTGTCAAAATTTGAATCGAACAGGGTTAGGCCCGATTGATTTCAAGGAAAAAGGTACCACATATAATTCACCTGAATGTTTTTAATTGTTTATTATAGGTGTTTTTATCTGTATCTAAAAGTACAAAATAAGATTACACTTTATAATATTAATAGATATTAAAAAATAAAAATTAATATTAAGTGGCTAATTAAACTATAATTTATATAATATAGGTGATGAAATTAATATTAATTTTTATTATTTTAAATATAAATTAATATCAAAAAATATATTAATTATAACTTTAATATGTCTTAAAAGCACAAAATAAAATAATCCTTTTATTATTGTTACAATGGGAATGTTTGCACAATAGGCACAGTTCATATTGCACAAAATTAAACTTATAGCTGGGAATAGAGAGATAGAGAAGTTAAGGTGAAAATAGTATATAATAATAAATAAAGATTCAAGAAATGATTAAGAAAGGATAACATTAAAGAAATAGGAATAAGGAGAGAAATATTAATAACAAACAAATTATTAATATAAAGGGGAGAAAATATGGTAAATTATTAAAATATAAAAATATAGATTAAAATTAATTATTTTAAGAAATTTACTTTTTAGAGAAATGGAACTGTCAAAAAAGTTACAATGCACTTGCCAAGGAAACTTGCAAACCGAACGGTCGAGTAGTATAACAGAAAAACGAAAAAACAGGGGAGAGCCGGAGAGGGGAGAAGGGAGACACCAAAGGGGACCATAAGTTGACAAATTAATAATAAAACATAAAATTGTAATTGAGGTACAGGGTTGTAGTTGTACCAAAATCAATCAACTACATTACTGCAATATTTAATAATAATAAAATACGTTAGAATTTTTAAAATTTTTTCTCTTAACATATAAATTTTCCAGTCTCAAAAAATTGAAACCGAAGTCTGTTATCTATTAATGTAGGATATCCAACTAAGGACGTTGTTGTTGAACTAGACTCATTGTGCATCCCTAAGTGTGTTGGTTAAAGTTTGAATACCTCTGGCAAAACAAAACAAAGCAGATTAAAGATGATGCCATTGCTCATTGCTGAACACGTCGAGAAGCTATGGGATACTTGGAATATCAGAGTCCTAATTATTCTAAGTCTCTTGGTGCAGTCTTTCCTAATTCTGTCTGCACAATTAAGAAAGCGAAGAGGTGGGAAATGGTTCATCAAGATTCCACTCTGGATAGCATACCTACTTGCAGATTGGGTGGCTACATTCACTATTGGACTCATGTTGCGTGCTGAACGCAGTGACATCGCAGCCTTTTGGGCACCCTTTCTTTTGTTGCATCTTGGTGGCCCTGACACCATTACTTCCTTCTCTCTGGAGGACAATGAACTCTGGATTAGGCACTTGCTTGGGCTCATATTACAAGTTAGTTCGACTATGCATGTTATCCTTCAGTCACTCACGCATAACAAACTTTGGCTGCCAACTCTCCTAATTCTAATTGCAGGGGTAATCAAATATGCTGAGCGCAACGGTGCCTTTTATCTGGCAAGCTTTGACCATATTGGGAGTAATTGGTCATATATATCACGTCTGCCTCCCATTCCAGTACAATTTGAACAAGTTCTTAAGTCACAGGGTTGGGAATCGACTAAACAGCCGTCTGCGATAATTCTTGTGCCAGCTTACATGGTTGGCGCTATCAAGAGCTTACTTGTAGGTCCTCCCATGACTAAAAAGGAACAAAAGTGGTTTTCTACTTTTATGCGAGAAACAGATTCACATAAGATGCTTCGAACCATAGAGATCCAGTTAAGCCTCTTGTATGAGCTCCTTCATACCAAGTTGCCCGTAGTTGATTCCAAGATTGGTTATATTTGCCGTACGGTTAACTTTGGTTGCATCTTGGGAGCCTTAGTGTCATTCTCAATATTACTTAGGAAGTACTACCATAATAAGTTGGGGGAGTTTGACATCTGCCTGACATATGGGTTGCTGATCGGGGCATTGGCATTGGATTTGATATCCATCTGGTTA